CCGGCTGGACAGATATCCATTCTGTATCCATATCGCAAAGGCTGGCTTCTCTGTGCGATCTAGGAGAGCATTTCGGCACCTCGTTATCGCGGATTCCGAGACTATTATTGTAAGCTTATCCTAGCCTTCTCAGGCAGGGATAACAATAGCCAGTGCAGGGTAAGGACGCGTCAGGAAAAGGGATGCCCTGAGATGAGGTGATGGGAGTAAGAGGAAGAGACGTTTTGTTTGTTTGGTCGTTGCGCACGTTGACTCTAACCCCCATCATCGCGCCGTTGTGGGCACCTTTTCCTGCCTTCGTTTTCCTCAATGACTGCAGGCTCTACGCTGAAATCTGGTGTGAGTTTTTATTCCGATGGCTCCGTGCTGAACTCTCAAAAAATCTCTTATCAACCCAGAAGAACGCGTCTCCGACCTTCGGAAGGAATGTTATAACACAGCGATGAAAGCACCCTCCGAATCCCAGGAAGTCGGTCATGAATGGGCTGTCGATAACGACGCCGGGTGTGTTAGCTTCTTATCTTTGATGGCTCCTTCTTTTCTCACGGATTTGCGCCTGAAGAGCTGGGTATATGCGCCTTTTCGGAGTCCGCGTCGCGTCGAGACACTGTCGTTTTCTTCTGTTAAGAAGGGTATATACCGATGTTCTCAGAGGAGCTAGGGTTGCCTAGTCTGCGCAAGTCTGACCACACTTCAGGTCCAATACAGTCTCGGCGAATACGTACCACGATTGCAATGACGAGACGTATCGCAATCTAGAGACGCCATTGCGAAAGCCGTTCACCTGGCTTGTACGATGTGTTACTCTTGCTCGTCGACACTTTCTCATCTGTCTCTACTAGATTGTACTCGACTATATGCGCACCTTACTTATTCGGATACAACGTGATTGTCAATGTTGAGTCACGTACGATGAAAAAGGAGCGTGGGCAGTTATTTCCAGAGCGCGCAAGGACGGATCTCATTGAGATCCACTGCGGCCCCTCGTGCGTCACCAGTTCGCCCTACTTATTGCAGGATATTTACCTGTTTTCAGATTTACTGGATGTATGCGCTCTCGCTATCAAGTCGTCAGCGGATGGCAGATGGGAATCGACGCTAGACCATACTGATACCGAGATATTCTTAGAACTTCGGCCCTACGCCCATGACCTTACTTTCTCCACTGGTGCGTCCAGTAGTATCGAACATTCCAGATTCTTACCTTTAGCATCCTTATCTATCAGATGAAACGCGAATCCTTAATGTTGCACTAAACCGCCTCCTAGTGCATGTACGGTCTGAAAGCGCCGCCTACATCGGAGCCTGAGTGCCCTGTTCTCGAAATCGTAGGAAACTCGTGTTATCTATGTCTCGTATGTTGATTCACTATGATAGTCTTTCTTTTTTCCTCATGTCTCGTCGTCGCCTCCTACTCCAGATCTGAAACTCGATGGCACGTGAAGACTCCATCGACTTATGCTCGTCATGATATTGAGAATGAAGCCCGTACAACTTGAAAAAAGGAGGAATTGCACGTACTGCCTTCGGGACTCGTAGGTTTCAGTTGATCGATGTGTTACAAGAATGGACCCGGCTCACTTTGTCGTACAGCATCCATCCATACACTCCTGACAAGGATCTTGCAATATTTTCAAGGACGTCTGTCAGTGTCTAGCCGTTTACGGTCCGTCTCAGTGATACGATCGTTCATTTGAGTCCGCTTCGTCAACACTAGTGGAGATGTCTTGATGAGGTTTCGATCGTACACAGACAATGTTGATGTTTCTGGTATGACATTCCCCTACTTATACCAGGGCGCAGTAACTGATGAACATTATCTTCCTCAGTCCCCTTCACACATTCACACATCCACATCTACAATGGTTTCTCGATTCGCGCTTCTCTCTTCGTTCGCTGGTGTTGCTTACGCTCAATACACCGCGACCTATCTACCGAACAATGCCCCAGCAACTTCCGAACAAGGCCAGGCCGGTACAAACAAGTGCGGGACAACAAACGACCAAAAGTCGAACTGTCAAAATGCCTACAGTACGTGGACTTTTCGTGTATAAAGAGACCCCCGCTAACTTTTCTGCAGTTAATTCAATTGATGACTTGTAAGTTGCCGCCATATTGGGGAACATCCCTATCTCAATCACACGCAGCTGCCTCTGGAGTCCACCCGAACCCGGCCCAAACTCCGGAATCGGAGAGACCGAGGTACGTTTAGAACTCCACCCTTACTGCAGCTTGGGCTTATTCATATTGTGCAGCGTATTGAAGTTTCGTGGTGCCTCAAGGTAACTATTTTTCAGCCTACGTATTTGCGTCGATTCTGATCATCCTCAGTCGGGCTACGGTACTCGCACGATCCCTGCCGACGCTATCACCGGCGCTCATTTCGTTAAGACGCCAGATTTTGTGAGTCAAAGCTATAGGGGAGGTAATCATTTACTGATCATTATGGATGTCGCAGGTCCAAGTCACTGGTGTTGGGGACTTCACAAAGATGAACATCCCAGCTGGCGACAGTGGAGGAGAGTTGGATCCTCATGGAGCAGACGGAAATGGTAACCCGATTGGTGGATTAGTCTTCTCATCAGCATTCGGAGAACTCCAGCAGATACACGAGTGGACGGTGGGTTATACTTCTATTGTCGAAGGTATGTACTAACGGAGTTTGTAGAGCTTTATGGCCGCCGACCAATTCTGCTTCCGGGCTTGTAACCCTGCCGGGAACAATGCCCCAGGGTGGTGTGAGTACTCATCCCATCCCTCGCCAGGTTCCTATATCTAATTTCCTCTTCAGGTCAACACATCTACGACGTCATGGGTTGTGCATGGAACATGCCCGCCAACTACAGCTCTGGAGTATTTGAATCGTGCCAGGGTGACAGTGGCCAGCCCATGGGTGTGTACGATGGAGCGACCTGGCAGCAGGGGCAACCCAACACACCTGCTCCCCACCCAATTCCCTCATCCTCCCAGTGCACCACCGTCACTGCTCTTGGGGCTGCTGCCACTACAACTTCGAAATCCTCGACTATAACTTCAACGGTAAGAGATCCTTTTTGAAGTGAGACCAGGATGTTTACATCTCCCCGATTAGCCATCTCCTTCGGGGTCGAGCGCAACAACGGCCAAAGCACAAGTTTCAGCTACCGCAACGCAATCATCCGCTGCGTACTCCTTGGTGCGGTCTATGGACGGATGTGATAGATATATTTATTCCATGGGTTCTGCTCTGCTGTTCTCGTTGGTCGGCGCCGTTATAGTACTTTGATACTTTTCGCATTTTCTTGAAGCTGGGACTATGTAGCATTACTTTATTCGCACCAAGCACACGTACACACAAGGGTTACCCAAAAATTTGATTGATATTTTTGTCGTTCCATTTTTTGGTCGTTTTCACAACCGTCATGAGTATGTTCGCGATACGGTATCGAGAAGTGGCAATTCGACACCATCTTACTTCCATTGGCATTTCTTCGCATTCGACCTTCCTCATGTTAACTATCTTGACTGTTTTTTTCGTATGTGGCTATTAGTAAGTGCGCAGTTTTTTCAAGCTGCGGTATTTTTATTTCTCTTCGACAGATCGTATCATTTCACTTCCGTAGAAAATTCATCTACTTTAACATTGTGGCCTTATAACCAATGCACAAAATCGTATCATACCTCAGTTGCGGCGCAATGTGGGCGTCTCGGGTGATGAGATATGTATTGGCGAGCACTTCGAAAGTTTTAACAAGGCGCCGATCCCACTCTGTCTATTGGTCCACTGGTAAAAACCAGCAGCCAACCAAAAAAGATGTAGGCAATCACACCCACGATTGAGTCCGAGAAACTAATTTATGCAGCCGACTATGTTGTGTCTAGATCTTGTGATTATGATAAAGCGAAGTCCAGGGAAGCAATGCATAATTGAATGGATCGAAAATCATCGCCACATCAATGCATTTACATGTCTAGAACATCTCATCATCATGACAGCGAACACGATATCCCCTCGGTTACGTTTTCTCTATGTAGGACATGGGTTGCGTAAATGGGAGGCAAGGTGCTATTCCTTGGAGAGTACCCCCGAACCGAGGAGTGGAGGCCACGTTGCACTCGCATATTCCCAAGGGATCTTAGCCACAGTTTATCTTAGCCCGAAACCTGGGAAATGAAGACAAAGAGAAGCAAGAATTTTCTCCTCAATCGGGAGGTGCTCCCTCCGCCCTAGACGTCGCCAAGTGCGGATGCAACTGAACCGGCTTGCACATGCTATTTCTGGCGGGCGGCCCTACATGAGGCTCGGATAAATATTTTAGCCAAGGCATAACGCAGACGGGAGAAGGTAATGATCGGCAGGGTGACGAGAAGTCATTATGCCGTGACCCGTGAATGAAGCAACGCAGTGCACGGGCGTAAATATAAAGTTTGTATCGGCATGCTACGCTTGTTTTACGTGCAGACGTCCAAGGTGAAATGGCGAGCTGAACTCGTGTACTCTTAGTTACAACAACTTGATGCATAGGCATGAAACGTTGGAGGAGAGCGTGAGGATAAGTAGGATCCAAGTGATGAACGGCAGATGTTGCAGGAAAGAAGGATATTTACACATTGCAGACAAGCACGCGTCGCAACTTGGGTCTCTATGGCTGCGGTACGTTGGGGGCACGTGAATTGTATTGGAATGCCCGTAGTTAAGCGGTGCTGAAGCTGCGTCTCGAAGAAGCCTAGGAGATAAACAACACAGTCACCAGTGGACGCCATAGTTGAGTAGCAGAAGGCGTAGGGAACAGATCAACGCCCAATAAAAGGTGTAAGAACTTCACAGTTGTCAATGTGATGGTCACGCATGAAGGCAAGACCGTCGCAGTCATTGATCGGACCGAGACCCAGTTGGGCAATCGAAGCTTGAAAAAGCGATCAAATAAGAAACACTCATACTCACACAAATCTTCTGAGATAAGTTGGTCCCTTTGAGCATCTTTGAAGAGAAGTTGGAACACATCCTCATCTAACAAAAAGGGCTCAACCGGGAGTTGAACCCGGGACCTCGCACAGATGCTTACGTAAACACTGGATTAGTTACCCCGAAGCGCGAATCATACTACTAGACCATTGAGCCATGCGTGTGATAATCCATTAATAGCACACGATCGATCAAGCCCTTTAGCCCGGTCTCGATCGATACTCCACATATTGAACGACTTATAGCTTCATACAAATAGTTGAGTCTGGTTTACGATACTACTTTATTGGGACAGCCTCCATTCCCCGCGCTTCTGATGCCCCCTCCTCTGTCTCTTAGAGCTACAACGTGGCTGGCATGAGCGCGGCAAGCGCAACCAGTACCGGTACGACTCCTGTTTATCCTCTCTTCTTCTGGCGATTCGAGTCAGAGCAGCAATAAGCGAAGTTCAACATCATTAATGCAGCGCAGCTATACCCTTCACTCGGCCACTGGTGTCCCTGTACACAGAACATTTCCCTAGATCGTGCATTGCCGTTTCGTGTCCATGTCTCGTACGTGTTGCGCTTGTGTAGTTAGCAAACTTCAGGCCGTACCTTCGCGGTGAGATTCAAGGCGAGGTCTGAACGTCTAATCTGGGGTGCCTGCTACAGTATTCGATATTCGTACCGGTACCCCGAGATCCGCAGGCATATCTGAGAAAAGCACGAGGATACCAGAGATCGCTCTGGACCTTTGAGGTTTGCATATCATCGTTAGCTCGCACCTCAAGGTCCTTCAGCGTCCGATTTGATAGCTTTGGTTTACAGGAACAGATTCTACAATCCTTCCAAACCAAGTACTAGATCCTGGTGAAGCTTGTGCTACATAATCGCTTATCTCTCCCATATTTCATCTACAACTCTGTAGCGGTAACAGCACTCTTTTGAGGCTCCGAGTCGGTGGCCGAACCATTCCCGCGCTCTGGTTCTAGACCGGTTCACGCTCAGGGCTCCTCTTGACACGAGTAAGTGAACCATTCAGGGATCATAAATCTTATAATTAAGTGTGCATATCTTTTTACGATGCACCGGGCCCGGGTACCGTCGGCGGGGCAATGAGAGTTCTAGAGAAGGAACATTTTTCGGTGATCGAGTAGTTGATGAACGCTTGTGCGAGGGCGCTCCCGGCCACTGGCAAAGCTGCACACGGCGCTGGGAATTTTCATCAACAATCGAAAACTCAGAACTCTATTGACTCTAACCCAAGCTACCGCCAATGTATTTCGCAGGAAGGGTGGCCGCAGCGTGCCCGAAGAGGTGAAAGCTGAACGAAGCTGGGCTGGATTATTTTTATTCGTTATGTCAAAGGACACGATCCGCTAAGCCGACGCTCCCGTTGCGCTTGATTGGGGCTCTGTAAAAGCTGTCATGGGTAGCGCATTTGTAGTTTACCCCTCACCGGTCGTTTTCTCTGATGTCTGTTTCCTTATCTTCAAGTTGGTGAAACGAAGTACAGATTCTGAGTCGTGTTAGTTCTACAGACCTCGGGTACTTGCATCATGATTGTCTGAGAGTGTACGTTAAAGCGGTAACGACTAGTGACTACTAACAGGCAATTCAATTCACAGATATAAGAATATACATGATGGAAGTCCACAGTCGTCTGGCAACGTGCCCAGGCTCTCGGAAAGAAAAGGCCTCGGAGAATGGGTGGCGCATAAGCGACCATCATCGTGAACAACTATGATCGCCACCCGGGCTCATAGAAATTTTTTTTCTGGAAGCCAGGTTCTTAAGTTTCATTTATGTGAGCGAACAGTTCAGAGTAAAGGCTTGATGTAATTTCGACAACTTGCTAGACAGATGAATACGATCAAGGTGACTGACTGAACTTATTATCGTTTTCATGCGGTCTTCATCCAAAATATGCCTGGCCAGGTGCCGTCCTAACTAAATTCCCACGTTTCAAACTTTAGCGAAATGAATGGTGCTCTATAAGCTAGGCTGTATACTGCCAATGGCTGAGGTACCCGGCGGTGATAACGGAGAACATGATGCGTTCTCAGTTGTATCACAAATGATCTTTCCCCACACTAGATCATTCTTTTGAGAGGTTATCCATGATGGTCCCTTGCGACACCCTGTTTATGGCTGTGCCAGTGATGTAGTTTGGACTGGTTTATAGCATTTTCCGCCGAGCGCTCAATGCATAATAATTACTATTGAGCCAACTAACATTTTACGCATCGAAACATATGTGATCACCAGGAGGCCGTCGCGCCCACTTACGCAGACTAGTTTACCTGTAAGAGACACCGCGGCTGTGCGAACCCTCGGGAGAATAGTCGCTATATGAACGCTCGTAGTGTCGCTATGTATGGAAATATATACATCGGATACAATATTCAAATCCTTGAAATCCTCACACGGCCTAATTTACATCTTAGAATACAATCGGCGAGCATTGTGGGGCCTCCCGTCAAACGAACGCCAGATGCCGAGACCACATACCTCCAGCTTGCAGTCTTCGTTCTGATAAATTAAGACTCAGCCTCACGCGGCGGACCGTAGAAGAGAGATGACATACGCGCTACTTCCTGAACGGTCAATCGAACTTTACTACGTAGGGTGGGCAACCGGTCCTCCACCAATGCCAGGATAGCAGATCCATCGGCACACGCCACATAGTCGCGACATGTATATGGCTCGCACGAGTGGGGGTTGCGACTCGGACGGCTTAGACCGTGGAGTTTTACGTTCACCTCGCGTAATGATGCTCCCGATGTGCGGGCGTCCAGCTGCGCCCATAGTAACGACTTGTCAGAAACATCGGGGTTGACCAGTTCGAGAGTGAGCGTTTCGATCGTGGGATTGAGTGGGATAGAGTCTATCCAGGCCAAATTCGTAACATGGTTGCCTATACCCACATATATGGATTTGAGACGCTTGTGGTCCTTCATGCATAAGGGCGTGGTGATATCCCCTGTTTCAGCGTTAGCAAAACATTGACATACAGATGTAGATCTGGCGTACCATTGTGGTTCACGAAAAAATCAAGATGCTCGAGTGTATCACGGGTACCCGTAACGAGTCCTACGAAGGAATTATGCCGGTTCGAGGAGATAGAAAGCTCTCGAAGGCAATCTATCCTCAATGGAGAGGAATCGTGCAGTATGAACTTGGCCACGAGACCCAGGTCATCTTCCACGAGTCGAAGTGACTCAAGATGGAGATGACGACCATCATATTTGGCCGTAAGATCTTGGATATCCACATCCCTCGAAAATATCGTGATGTAGTTGAGAGATAAATGCTTGACAGTGTCGCTGCATTCGTATAGAATACGCGCAATACCATCAAACCCGCAGAAAGTGAGATTATCGAGATCAAGAGAAGTTAGTGAAGGAGATTGAAATGTTTCGAGGAAAGATGCGATAGGAGTTTCGTGTGCATCCCAAGATAGAGAGCCCCGATGACTGGAAATAGATACACGCTCCAGATTCCGGAGCAAATCAAGAATGAATGGGAATCTAACTTTCTCCCTGTGAACTAGGTAGCCTGGTGTTCCCTCTAGGCCATCCTGTATGCTAAGGAACTTGACAAGAGGCGCAACAGGGGCAATTCCTTCCTGAAGCAAATTGTAAAACGATTCGCAGGTAAACTTGCTACCAGCAAAACTGTTAGGCAACGGCGCGTCAACGCCATCTTGGAAGATTATGACGTGGGAGTAAAGGTGCTTGCGACTGGACGGTAGGAACGAACGAGCAGCCAAAGAACATGCTCTAAGAGCTAGGAAATTATCTTGGATGCGATCGATAATCTCGTCGATAAGCTCCTGCGGCAGATATGGTTGCATGACTGTAAGATGGAAGGATGATTATTGATGCCGCTATAGTGCCGCGGCAGCCGGCAACGTGCGGTCACGAGGACATACCCAGATCAACCACGCTTGAACCTGCGTGAGTACGAGGACCCACATACCTGCTAATTGACCGGAAACTTTAGAAGACAGCCTCGACGTCCCAACACGCCTTAAAATCCAAGACGCTGGTTGACCGTTTTTTTAAAAATCACTCTGGGAAGAAGCGCAGATGGTCAAGATAAACGCCGGGTCCAGAGACGTCGAATCAGCATGTTCCAACTGAATACCTTGATGTCCGTTCCCCAAAAACTTTGAGAACACATATAGAAAGAAACTGTACGGATGCGTACCCCGGTGTCGAACACTTACCTTTCCAACAGGACACTCTGGAGACCGACGTCGCCTATTTCGCGAACGCGGTCGTTACTCCGAACCGGAGAGAAGCGGCTGTGATCAGAGAGGGAAAAAACAGTACCCCATCCGAAGCCACAAGCGCCGGGAGCTTTGGCGAATCGGCATCGGATCTCTCGGCACGGTAAGATTACTTACGAAGCTCTGAGAATGTCAGCGTCACAGGGTTCACTTCCTTCCTTCAGGGTTCAGAGAAGCAATCAGGCCCGGGATTTATGACGCGAAACAGGGTCCGATTTATGTATGGAAGCTTTATAGTACCTGCACGTGAGTGAAGAAAAAAAAACGAAGCTCAGAGACGAGAGAATCAACACGTGTAGATGTTCATGGCCGCCACTGAATTTGAGCTCAGAACCCCCCGTGGGGCGCAAGCGTCGTTCGACCTTCGAAGGTCGAGCGAGATCCCCATTAACAGGCACTTTATCGCGCATCCGAAGAATCTTGGAAGCTGACGGAGATCTGTAACACGCAAGTTATGCATGATATCCATCGACATCCTGTGAAAAGGCCAACGAAGATGAGGCACAGAAATTCCATCGTCCGAAGAAAGAAACATGAAAGAAATCAACTTGCCATTTCAGCCCCATGAAAACTTGGCCGAATGTATTGAATACTAGCCCAATGGGCTGTCCGAGTCCGGCAGATTCGGAAGCCAGTGATATCAAGATCACGGATATAGAGGAGTTGACTGGTCGAGATTTTTAGAAGCGACCTCGCGGAAGAAGCAGCTCCCTTTGGCTTGGGAAAGTAATAGGAGCAAATATACTCGGAAGTCGGCCCGCTTACCGATACACGCTCGTAAACCTGAACGTCAACCTCATTCGATGAAGATCAGTTGCTCGCCTCTCTTTCCTCGTTATGTTCTTCGTTGTGCGGCTAATGTCTAGCAGATGGAAAGGCGT